ACAATTTCCAACTGCATTGTAAGTTCAATTTAGCTGTTACATTTTTCAAGTAATATGTTTGATAAATAAAAATGATTGTTCTTTATGAATGTGCGATCTATAAATTTACAACTTTAATTAGGAAACAAACAATTTTAATTTAGGAAATATACACCATTAATTAAGAAATCCCTGCACTGCTTACATTTATGCACAGGAGTACAAGAGGATGTGACTCCTGGTGGCTTTGTGCAACTTTAAGTACTATACAGAGGTAAAAGCTATTTAACTGTAAAGGAATATGCATAGAAAAGCTGACAAGAAGCAGAATCTGCTCATTTTAAAGACACAAAATATGTTGTTATGTCTACTACAGTTTTCCAAATATAGCCTTAACTTCACAGAACATGGAATCTTGTAATACGTTAATGGCACTCTGTCATCAGACATGTAATAGTCATATTTTAGGATCTGTTTTTTTTCCATCCTAAATGTCAGAGAAAGTGGTATATTTTAATATTGCAAATACAGATTTAGAGTCACATATCATCATTAATAAAAAAAATATAGAAGACCACAGAATTACATCCTGGACTCAGTACACGTAGTAAGAGTACACAGGTATGGTCAAAAGGTTCAAATGTAATTCAACCAAAACTTTAGAAAGGGTGGATTAAAGTGCGTATGGATTAAGTCTACATTTATAAAAAGTGCTACAATAAACAAAGAAATATCATGAGTATTTGATGACCGCAATATCTTGTTAAGAGATATTTCAGAAGACAATTGTCAGATTTATTGAAGCTGACAGAAAGGCCAGAGGTATTCAAATAACCACTTTTTGTGGCACAATTGTACAGAAGGTAATCTTTCATATATTGACCTTTGAAGTGGATGAGCATCTTATGTGAAGTTCCACTTCTATATTTTTATAATTTCTGCATTCCTATGCTAAATATGTAGTGCCAACTCATGCATAGATCTTAAAGGAACACTATAGAGTCAGGAATACATATGTATTGAACACACATGCAAGGTCCCTGGTCCCCCCTTTCCCCTCTTAAATAAGTTTAAAAACATACCTTATTTACAGAGCCAAGCGGGTGTGCTGGTGCTGGTCCCACCCCCGATCGATGGTAGCTGGAAATAGTTTTGACCGGCGCGACCATCCTCCGATCCAGCGCAGACTTCCACAGTGCTGGGTAGGAAATTCCAGTCACCTACAATGATGGATCAGTACATGGAGCTCCCTCAAGTCTTTGGAATTGTTCAATGCCTCACCTTCTCCTCTATCACCCTTCCATATAGCGCTATAATAGGTGACTCTGGGGCTGAGAGCACCCTCGACAAAGTTTTACCAGATCACGGAAACTCTGCCATCAGTTCAGGAGTTCCCGAGGTTTTGTGGGTTGCTCCCGGTCAGGCACGCCATGCCTCTATGACCTTTCTGCAAACCTGCGATGACTCGTGGGTTGCTGGGCTGGGAGGTACAGCTGGAGAATATAGTTCTTTTTAGAGGAAAGTGGCCGTTGGGAGACATGTACCAGTCTTAGGTGACCAGGTGGTCTGTCACAATAAGCTTTTCAAATGATTTAATATTTTTGGAAACATTTTTAATGTGATTCAATGTTTATACTCGTTTTTTACAGGGCCTCTAAAGACTGCCAGGAAGATAATCGCCTTCCTAGCTTTCCATGCTTATTTATGTTACTTAAAATGTCCCTTTAAATGATTCCACAAATGTAATAAACTACTGGATTTAATAATCTTCAGCCAGCTGGAAATACATTTAAATATTTAGTTCTTTGTATTTAAATTTAATATGCAACTATTCAAAATAGCTAATGCTTTTAATTTCTGTGTATTTTTGTATAAAATTGAACATGCTCTCCAGGACACACTTGAAATTGAGATTAATCTCAGTGTATGCTTCCCGTTAAAGCACTTTTTAATAAACAGATAATTACACTGTATTTATATTAATCTCAGCTGACGTCCAATAGTAAGCAAAATACCCAACAATCGAAAATCACTAGATTTACTTTAATTTCATTCAGCCGTGCATATGTCAAAATGTAATGTACTGTTGTAATAAAATAACTATAATGCTTTAAGCCACTAATGTTTTCATGAGTTTACTTAAATATAAAGCAAACTGTTCATAAAAATGTAGAGACTATTAAAAACTATATATATGAAAGGTTTATTTTTATAGGTAGTTTGCATTTAACACTAAACTACGGGCTACCATTATATCATTCTATTCTACTGTAGTGTTTATTCACTAACAGAGAAATGTGTTTAAAATGCAAAATAGTTAACAAACGTAAGGCTGCATTGGAAAAAAATTTATTTAACCTTAAAATCATAGTTACATAGGCTGAAAAGAGACATGCACCCATCCAGTTCAACCTTTCTCACATCTGTTTTTACTGTTGATCCATAAAAAGGACAAAAAAATCCTTTTAAAAGCACTTTCCAATTTTTCAACAAACTAGAAAAAGTTATTTCTTGGTCCCATAATGACAGTCAGATCTCCCCCTGGATCAAGAGGTTGTTACTATGTTCTAGGTATGCCCCCAATTCCCATTTTTTTTTCTGAATGAAGAAGCTGTTACCCTACAAATAAAAAATGATATCCCTGAATATTATGTTTTTGCAAGTATACATCCACTTGCTGTTTAAACATTTGTACAGTCTCTGATAAAACCACCTGTTCAGGCAGAAAATTCCACATTCTTACTCTTCTTACTGTACAAAGTTTTTCTTTAACTCACTTAAGTTATCCCTAGCCCTAATTTCATAATAAATAACCTTTAACCTTTAAAACACTATACTCCTTTAAATACTTAACTTTAACATAGATAACCTTAACATCAGGATTTGGAAGCAGGAAAGTATGTGGGTTTTGATAATTACACATGCACAGTTAGAATATGCATTCTGTCAACAGTAATATGTGCCAGAATGTATATTTTTATAGTCAGAATGTATATTTACCGTAAAATATATACATATGCAGTGATCTTTGATTTCTACTTTTCACCTTCCGAGTCCCTGGAGATTAGATTTTAGAAATCAGTGATCATTGCATAATTATGTGTCTCTGAGGAGTCTAGGTCCAGAGTAAGACTTGCTGGGTTATTTATTATTGTAAGAAATCATAGTGAATTCATGGTAAATTGTAAATTTAAGTCCAGGGTAGCCGAATTGAAAGCATTACTGACTTTTTGTCCAGATTGGTTATTTTGACCTTACATTTGAAATTCACCTTGAATTTACTTTAAATTCTTACTTTAGCAAATGACTCTGTAAATGTCAGCTGGTGGACAGCAAAATAACAATGTTTTTCTGTAATTTAATCCCCCTTCTCCTCCTCTCCCCCCCCCCAAAAAAAAAACAACCTAATTTTTTTCTTTTTTTCTTCAAAGATAAACTGGCAGTGCCTGATTGACAGTGCTGTCTAAATGAAAAAAAGATGATGTTCTTACATTCCATCTTCTTTTGTCTTTTTCATGACCTCACTCACCCACATTTTTTTTAGCAGCCAAAAGAGCCAATAAAAAGCAGAGAAGATGACACAATGCACATGTCTATTTTATAGAGTGCTTAGAAGTCTCAATAAAAAGTCAATGGGTGATGTCACAAATCGCTTTTAGGAGTGAACTTAGCACATCTGAGGTCTATATTTTATAACTGGGTATATATCACAAGTAACCCAAGACCTTAACATGCACAGTTGTTCTCAGCAGCTTCTTCCGAAAACTACCAACCAGTGGAGATTGGAAACTGCAGAACTGTAATCATGTTACATGAAACAAGTTTATTTCTTAACACAGTTATCTATAACTCCTAAATCAACATATTATTAGTATAATTATTATTACAACAACAACCTTGTGGGGAACTGTCCTAGGTGCTCTTATGGTCTAGCCACTACATAAAGTAGATGATGGTGTTTGGTGCTGAGGGAGTCTACATAGTACATTGCATAGGCACATATGGTAGGCGAACCCAGTGTGTGTACCTGACCCATTATATGTGTTAAGGGTGCTGCCACCGGTTAATTTTGGTAACAATTATTTCTGGTTGTAACAGGGTACCCTAGTATCAGTTGTAGAACAGCAGTACTCCAATTTATGTTGAACTAAGCTCAGTAAGGTCCGTCAATTTCGCTCCTCGGGTTCATCCCCATTGTGCCCTCATCTGTCCCATGTCCTTTAACCATTATACCTATGTCTATGTCTCCGTGTGCTCTCACCTCCGTCCCCTAGTCTGTGGTTCTCCTGGCCCAGGTCTCCCACACCTCCTGCTTCCAGGTCCAACGTTTAGACATGGGAACTATGTGCATCTCGTATCTCCCCACTTGTGAGACATATCTAATCAGTTCCTGCATGGTCGCTATGGACGTAGAAAGCCAGTTTCTAGTGATGTGGGTCAACGCAGCAATTTGAATATGGTATATCAAATATTTGTCAGCTGGGGGGTAGTGGTCTTCATACATAAACAGTAGAAGGGAGGCTGGGGAGTTGGGGACTACAATGTTTGTATGTGTATGGATGAGAGAAAGAACCTCTTTCCAATAGCTCTGTATGATGTCGCAGCCCCACCAGATGTGTAGGAATGTTCCTGTGTCTCTATGACAGTGCCAACATATTTCTGGTTGTGATGGCAATATCCTGGCCAGGCATGTGGGGTCCATGTACCATCTATATGCAAGTTTGCGCATGAGTTCCATGTGAGCTGCGCAGCCTGACCGGCCCTTTTAGCTATTGATGGCTCAAAGCCAGGTGTCATCGGGGATTTGGCGGTCTATATCTGCTTTCCATGCTTTAGCCCATGGGAGATGACAGAGTTCTGTGGTAATGTTCAGGAGAGTGTAGATGATGGATATGGGCCCCTTGGCTGGCGCACCTGCAATCAAGCGCTTTTCAAAGAGTGTGAGGAGGCGTGTTTGGGGGTCCAGCACTGGAGTCTTCATGTGTGCAAGCCACCAGGACCTCAATTGCCTATAGGAGAATTGTGCTATGTGCAGGACAGTGTATCGTGTACATAATTCCTGAAAAGGCAACAGTGCTACCTTGTTTTGCAAGTCATGCAAGTGTGTAACCCCACATCTATTCCATAGTTTGAAGTTGAACTCAGGGATTATCGCTGCTAGCCCCCTGAGGGTCGTGCCCATCGAGACAGGGTGACAACCGCACAGACGCGTGCGGGAGGAGTCCCATACCCTCAGGGTAGTAGCTGTGGTGGGGAGCGCTTGCGTCAGGTCTGGTCTCTGGGGGGAGGGGCGGGTTAGCCACATCAGGGTGGATATGTCGTATCGGTGTGCCCAGAAACTCTCGACAGAGACCCACTGCGGCGGGTTGGTACGGTGGTGGGCCGCTTCCAGGCTAGTCAGGATTGACACCCTGTAGTACCCATAAAGATTAGGTAAGCCCATGCCTCCATTGTGTGTGGTCCTATATGGGTTGTCGTGCCTATCCTGGGTTTTTTGCCATTCCATATGAATATATTGATTTGTTTTTGCAGCGCCTAAAAGTAACGGGTAGGGGCCGTCAGTGGGACTGTCCTAAATAGGTATTGCAGTCTAGGTAATATTACCATTTTTAGAGCAGCTATGCGTCCTGACCAGGAGATGTATTTATTTCTCCATTGTCTGAGACTTTCCTCCATTTCTTTGCTTAGTTTCACATTGTTGAGTTCGTAGAGTTTTGTGAGATGGTAGGGGAGTCTAACACTTAAAAAGGTAAGATAGTCTGTCCTCCAGTTGTATGCATATTCCTTCTCAAGGGCTGACCTGTAGGTGTCCTCCATCCTCACCCCCATAGCTTGTGTTTTCGTGAGATTAAGCTTATAGTATGAACACCTGCTGTAGGAATGCAGTGTGTTGTGAAATGCTGGCAGCGATGTTTTGGGAACAGTGATGGTGAGGAGAATGTCATCGGCGAAAAGGTTTAATTTCATTTCCCTACCATCTATGCGCACCCCGTGTATGCGGTCGTTATCCCTGATCAGAGCCGCCAGCGGCTCCAGCGCCAGGATGTACAGTATGGGTGACAGGGGGCACCCCTGACTGGTCCAGTTAGTTATGCAGAAGGGGACTGACCTGAAGCCTGCGTTGAATACTCTGGCCGTGGGCTTATTATAGAGCGCCCTAACCACCATCTGGAAATGTGGGGGGGAATTACATTTTTCGAGGACCGCTTGGAGGAACGACCAGTGCAGGCGGTCAAAAGCCTTTTCGGCATCCAATGAAAGGAGTATGTTATTGGTTGACATTCAGTGCATACCTTGCAGGAGGCCGAGAGCCTTGCGTGTCCCATCTGCCCCCTGCCTACCACTGATGAAGCCTACTTGGTCGGAGTGGATCAAGGTGGGGGGGATACATTTTAGCCTATTCGCATAAACTTTCGCCAATATTTTAATGTCTGTATTTAGCAGGGAGATGGGTCGGAAGTTGGCGCCTTTAGTGGCGGGCTTGACTGGTTTACACAGTGTGTATGTTGGCCTCCAGCATTTCTTGCGGAAGCTTACTTTCAGCAGTAGCTGTCGCAAATAGTTTTGCCATCTGGGGGGAGAGGATGGAGGAGAACCTTTTGTAATACAGATTTGTGCAGAGGCAAGGTCGCTATCACCTGTTCTATCTCTTGTTGCGTAACTATGTCCATCAGTAGGTGGGCTTGGTCATCCGTCAGACTAGGGAGGGCTACCCGGTTTAAGAATTGGGAGATTTCTGCTGGTGTGGGCTGGTGTGTCGCCGCATCATCCCGTAGGTTAAATAGCTTACTGTAGAACTGTGTGAAGGCGTTGCATATGTCTTGGGGTTTTATAAATCTTTTGCCCTCGTCAGTCACTATGTACACTATTTTCGACTGCGCGTTAGCTGTTCGCAATCTACTGGCGAGTAAAGCGTCGCTTTGTCACCCATGGCGTACTGTTTCGCTTTCAGCGTATTTAGAGTGTGCGCCACGCACGATGTAGAGATCATTAAGCTCCCTTTGAGTTTGCTCAATTTGAGTCCCCCTAGCAGCGGTCGGGTTCAGGAATTGGTGGGCAGTAAGGTCTCGTAGAGTGCGGAGGAGGGATAAGGTTTTAGTTTGGGTTCGTTTCTTGATGTAAGAGGACCTGCGAATGAAAATCCCACACATGACAGCTTTGTGCGCTATCCATGTGGAGGAGATGTGTGTTTCGGGAATATCGTTGGTGGTAAAGTATTGTAAGAGTTCCCCCTCTGCTTCCTGCCTAAATGATTCATCTGATAGTAACCCCGTGTTAAGTTTCCATGGATTACAGCCGCGGAAATGGAAATTGTCCTGTAGGGCTATGGTGACAGGGCTATGGTCTGACCAGACTATGTCTCCCACGTCGCACACTTGGATCTGGTTGAGGGAGGAGCTCTGAACTAGTATCACGTCTATCCTAGAGTAGGATCTATGGGCTTTGGAATAGTAAGAATAGCATCAGTCAGAGGGGTGTAGCGTGCGCCAACTGCCATAAAAGTTGAATTGCAGCAGCAATTTCGTCAGGGCTTTGCAATGAGGCATAAGCGTCCGTTGTCTTAAGGAGTGGGTCTGTGTGGATGAGTCCAGTTTAGGGTAAAGGACATGGTTGATATCTCCACAAATCACGGTCATTCCCCTCTGTACTGCTGTCACCATAGTTAATACCTTATGTAAAAAGTTCCGTTGATGCTCATTCGGAGCTTACACATTAACCAAAGTATACATTGCATTGTTCAGCATACAGATTAAAATGAGGTATCTACCGTGTGTATCAGATATTTCCTGTAATAACTCAAAGGTCACTGACTTGTGAATGTATATGGTTCCCCCCCTGGACTTAGTGGCAAAGGCAGAGTGGTATTGAATGGGGAAGTATTTCACGCTAAATTGGGGTACACAGGCTTTAGGAAAATGTGTCTCCTGGAGACATAAAATGTCTGCGACATGCTTTTTTGGCTTCATTCAAAATCATGTGCCGTTTGTGGGGCATGTTAAGCCCACGCACATTATGGGAGTAAATCTTCAGGGTGGTTTATGAGATTGGTGCTCATTTTGCCAGGGTGGCTCTGTGGGCCGGATCCACGGGGGTCCACCGCTTGGTAGTATTTTGAGAGCTAGGACAGGACACTCGTGGCTATGGGGCCTCAGGCGGGTGGTGTCACCAACTGAATCAGTGGAGGCTCCGGTTTGAGCTGTCAGTACGGCATTTGAGCGAGCTTGGCATGGTATTTTGGAGCAAAAGGCGGGGAGGGGAAATAAAAACCAGGGGAATAAAATCAACATAAGTACATACAGTACAGACCTCAGTAGGTACAAGGTACAGGCGAGCTGTACGTGTGGGGGGGTGGAGGCAAAGATGGTGTTAGGTAGAAGGCCTGAGCCGGCATAAAACTGGCATTGTGGCTACACTGTAGGTGGGAGACATAGTGTGTACACTTAATACATCGACGACAGTAGCGACTTAGGATAATTAACTGCCGCACTGCTAACATATGGCACACATTAGAAACCAGAATATCAACATAGTAAATATACAACAGGAGCTTAATGCACTGTGTGGGGCAGAAGCCTCACTCAACGTGCATGTAGGTAGTGCACATGAAATACTTGAGGACAGCACTCAAGCTTGGGACCAGTCCCTTTCAAGGCGTTTGGGAGATGGTGGGTCTGCTGGACTCTCAGCTGGGCACAGATTCCATCATTGCAGTAGGTGTAACCCCTCTGCCACCGACAGGAGCACTGTGGTGGCGCCATTGCACATGACGATCAGGCGGATAGGGAATCCCCAGCAGTAAGGTATACAATGCTCTCTGAGGACCTCTGTAACTTTTTGGAACTCCTCCTGTGTCGCAGTGTGGCAGCAGAGATGTCTGCGAAAACTCGCACTTTGGTGAATTCTGGCGGTGAGTCCTTCGCTGTGCGGCTACTGTGGAGGATCAGCTCCTTCACATGAAAATAATGAGCCTTGAGTAAAGTGTCCCTAGGTAATGAGGCAGCAATGTGTTTGGGCTTTGGGACCCTGTATAGACGGTCCAGCAGCAACATGTCGACCGGGATGTCCGGGAGTAAGGCCTTGAAGAAGCGGGTGCCTTGGAGTCTCAGGTTGCTCCGTCGGGATCTATCCTCGAGGTCCATAAGCTTCTCCTTATATTTGGCGAGTTGGGTTTCCAGGGCCTGGATTCTGTCTATGGCCTGGTTATGGGCATCCACAATGTTATCCACCTTAGTTTCCATGTTTCCCCCGTTCGCGACCCTAGATCGTGTAGGTCTTGCTTGATCTCAGCCACACTTTCCTGCCAGGTGGCTATCAGTTTGGTGGATTGTAGGAGTGAGGCTATAAGCCCCAATTCTGTCTGCGTGTCCAGATCGGAGCGGGGCTGCTCCTGACGGAATACCCGGCGCCATCTTGAAGTCTGGGTCTGCGTGTTGCGAGGCTGGCGGTCTTTTTGGGGCGAAAAATGTAATTTATCACCCTTTTCGGTGTGTCTCCGTGTCTTGGAGTGCGGCATGGCAGCAAGCGTGGCTATCTGTCCTGATTGTGTGCCGGATTGGATCGGATTGCCTGGCTCGTGTTGCGGAGCTCAGAGCTCAAGCGGCCATCTTGCTTCGCATTTAGGACACGCCCCCCACTATAGTTATTCTTATTTAGGCTCCTGGATGCTCGGGATCCAACAATCCCTCAGGGCCATTGAAGGGATTGTTGGATCCCCAGTGCGCGGCCCATCCGAGCAACCAAGCCCACCCAAACAATCCAGCCCGACTGAACAATCCACCGATCTACTTCTGGAAAGACCCGGGACTCTGGAATCAATATTCCATCAAGAACAACAAACACCTGTTATCTACAGGAATTTACTACTATCAAAAGCAGGAGACGCAGGGACCTTGGTCCAGGAGCATAACATACTTCAACATTTATCATCCACAAGAAAGGTTCCAGCTTTGCTCCTACCACATATATGGGTGAGATCCAGCCAATTAGCATGTATATATCATACTTTTCTTTTTCCTTTTTTTTCTTCTTTTTACATTTTTTTGCCAGCAAAACTTATATATAGGGGTCTTGGATACATACTGCAACTAGGCACTATTACTGACTGAGTCAGACTTATGTGGGTTGCTTTATTATAATGTGGTGTACTGACAACTTTATTAGTTATAATAATATTAACTTCTATCATTATTTAGTGTAAATAAGCAGTGTGTTAAGGATAAACACAGTGGTTTTGGTGGAGTATGGAGTCTATAACGGATTGTACTAAACACAATAGATAAGCTGATTTACTGTTTTTTGGAATAAGCAAAGGAATAAAACTTTTCAATCAGTACTCATTTAGCGTGAAACGTGTACTTATACAGACACATTTACGTTTTTTAGAGTGCGGTATCATAGTTTTTTTTTTTTTTTTATCCTCCTTTATTTTCAAATGTCTTCATATTTAGCATCCTCACACTTGCCAAAAATAGCTGATGCTTCTCATAGAGAGGCTTTAGATTCAGTGCTTCTATTTGGGAAACACTGAATTGGCTTGTCCTTTTGGCTTACAATGCTTCTATATGGGAAGCATTTGATTCAGGATTGATGATCTGATTGTGATTGGAGGGGCTGTAGTTTATCCCAGCACTTAGATGAAGGTAAGTTTACTTAATTTATTTTTATTATTCATATCAAGTATATAGAGAGCAAAAAATGGGTCGCAAGAGTGTTCTGCGGACGGACAGCAGCTAAAATAGCCTGCCCTTCGGTGGGTCCCCGCTCAGAACTCAAGCTGGTTTTAGCTCAACTTGTGCTATTACAGAGAGAACGTATCTGAAGCATATCAGACTGGTCCCACCCATACGGGCAGTCCAGATCCGAAATGCCAGCAAGTTCTCTCTGCACGAGAGATACAGCAACCCCAGAGGATCGTTTCAGCCTTGTTAGGCATCGTCAGTGAGGCATAGCTGATATCTCTCTAGGCACCGTGAGCAAGGGGTCCACGTCTGGATTACCCTTTAAACTAATGGAGAGCAAAAAATGGGTCGCAAGAGTGTTCTGAGGACGGACAGCAGCTAAAATAGCCTGCCCTTCGGTGGGTCCTCGCTCAGAACTCAAGCTGGTTTTAGCTCAACTTGTGCTATTACAGAGAGAACGTATCTGAAGCATATCAGACTGGTCCCACCCATACGGGCAGTCCAGATCCGAAATGCAAGCAAGTTCTCTCTGCACGAGAGATACAGCAACCCCAGACGATCGTTTCAGCCTTGTTAGGCATCATCAGTGAGGCATAGCTGATATCTCTCTAGGCACCGTGAGCAAGGGGTCCACGTCTGGATTACCCTTTAAACTAATGGAGAGCAAAAAATGGGTCGCAAGAGTGTTCTGAGGATGGACAGCAGCTAAAATAGCCTGCCCTTCGGTGGGTCCCCGCTCAGAACTCAAGCTGGTTTTAGCTCAACTTGTGCCATTACAGAGAGAACATATCTGAAGCATATCAGACTGGTCCCACCCATACGGGCAGTCCAGATCCGAAATGCAAGCAAGTTCTCTTGCGACCCATTTTTTTCTCTCCATTAGTTTAAAGGGTAATCCAGACGTGGACCCCTTGCTCACGGTGCCTAGAGAGATATCAGCTATGCCTCACTGATGATGCCTAACAAGGCTGAAACGATCGCCTGGGGTTGCTGTGTCTCTCGTGCAGAGGGAACTTGCTGGCATTTCGGATCTGGACTGCCCGTATGGGTGGGACCAGTCTGATATGTTTCAGAGATGTTCTCTCTGTAATGGCACAAGATGAGCTAAAACCAGCTTGAGATCTGAGCGGGGACCCACCGAAGGGCAGGCTATTTTAGCTATCTCTCGGTTCAGAATACCTTTTTATGCACCCATTTTTCTCTCTCCATATCAAGTATATAGTTTATTATTCATATCAACTATAATAAGTAAAAAGGTATAAAAAACTGTGTTCTGGTCGCGGACCTAAATATTAATCTCTTAATACATAATAATTACAAATACGGAACAACATTAATATTTTTATAATTCATGGTAATATGGTCTAATATGTGGATAGAAAATACACAAAACGTTGTAATATTAAATGTATATTTAATATAACTATAAATAAATAAACAGATGCTAGCAGAATGTCAATTTACTACAATTATGATACAATACTACACTACAACATAATATTTCCTTACAAAAGGTTGCTGCCATGTTGATGATAGATGATACTCACATCTCAGGTTCAGTCAGGTACAGGCAAAGAGACAGAAAGTTTTTCTTTTCCTCCATCTGGTTTTTATTCAGTGTAAGTAGGCTGGCCTGTGATGTCACTGCCAGAAGCACATGTCTTCCTACACACTCCCCCTAGTGGTGCCCCCAAAGCATTACACTAAATATGCTTTCTTTATGATGTAAAGTCATTAATTAATAAATACCATTACAGACCACCCTTTGACTTATGTCATAAAACAAGCATTTATAAAACCAGTACATTTTGAATCTTCCCCATTTTAACACTACCTGCCCTACAACAAAACCCACCTTTTGAAGAACGATACCCATTTACCCATTAATTATTACCCATTAACATTTTATTGCTTATATAAATGTTCACCATTGAACACATGCATTACCAGTTGGGAAATAGGCACATACCCACCCTTATAATAATGAACAACTCAAACCATGTTTTATTAGATTAACCAATGATATTGT